TTCCGTGAGCAGGTCGTTTTGGGGAAGCCTTTTCAAGCGACATATCGAGAAGGGAGAGACGCCGATCGAGATGAAGCACCACAACTCCGATGAGAGAAGGCGTCGCTACCCAGAGAGGTTTCGTGAGCTGTGCCACCAGGAGATCGATGAAAGTCGTCGACGAGACATCGGTGCTGGCTCCCAAAGACGGAACTGATAACTATTTGCTGAACTATGCCGTGGACCTCGCTGACAATCTCAGGATGATTCCGCATGCCGCAAAGTATGCCTGGGAGAATGAGGAGGCCTGGAGTGTACAGAAAGCTTCGGAGACACTGCAGAAGGTGTCAGAGGGCCTGGATTGTTTTTTTACAAGCCGAAGAGCTCGGACAGGCTCCATGGCCCCTCCATGCGTTTAACATCAAGAAGTGTACGGACACCTTTCAGCAGACGCTGAAAAACAAGCTGTCGAAGAAGCAACTAGCAAGATTACAAGCAGACCTGGCTGTTTGGATTTGCACATGTAGCTACTGCTAAGGACAGAGATAAAGCTCCCGAGCAGCCGACAAGAAGCAAACCGGTCAAGAAGCGCCCCAGTGCTGCGGATCTGCAGGCAAGAATGTAAACCCAAACTTTAATCCCCAAACCCTCTGCACCCTGCACCCTGAACCCTAAACCCAGACTCTCTCTCTTCTTATTAACAGGCCGCATCTCCGTCCCGGCGCGTTGCAACGTGGACGTAATCATCAGCTGACTCCCATTGCCATTTGCAGTGCGAAACTAGGAAGCGCCACAAAATGCTTGTTGACTAACAGCTTGGCTTGCACAGCTGGTTTTATAGGAGAAACACAGAATGGAGCAGGTTTTTTGTAGGAGACATACAGAATCGAAAAGTTTTTCTAAGAGAAATGCAAAATCGAATACGGCTTCTACGAGGTCGCGCTACGCGCTGTGCAAGCCGCCCGATCCATCTGCACGAGTGACAGATTCTGCCCGGATCTTGCAGCATCTTTACATTCCTACATAACATGGTTCTGTCTTTGTGAACTTGTTCTACGAAAACACTACCGGACAATGATATCTGTAGCAGTCCTGCCCTCGCCTGGATTCCGGCGTAAGCCGGAGGCTGCTGTAGTCTGTTTGTTCGATGTGTTGGAATTCCTTGCACTATGTATCCTACACCCTTAAAACAGCCCGAATTGAACAAATCAACGTATGTAGTATGTAAACTAAAAAGGCATCCCTAAAGTCCCAGACACTTCAAAAACATATGCAGATCCCATGTGAAACACGACCGACGGAACTTCTGCACATCTTCAGTCCTTGGAAGCCAAGCATTCGCACGGATGGCTCCATGTTTAGGCAGCTCATAGAGTCACATCGGATTGTGGGAAAGGGACCATTGTCTCAAATAGTTTTTTCCGATTCAGATTCAGTTTTGATTCGATGTATTTCGATCTGTTGATTCACTTCTGATTCACGCTCGGGTAACACTTTCAGTTACGCTTCGGTCTCGATTCAGTTTCGGATTCACTTCATGTTTAGTTTTGTCGTTTGCTTAGCATCATGGGGAACGCCAGAGTCCAGAGCGTTCCGGGGTGGCTGGGGCGGCTTTTGGGGCAGAGGTTGCTTTTGACACCTCCCGACACGCCTCGGAGGGGGTCGGGAGGCCTCCTTAGGGAAGGGGTTGGATCGTCCCTCGGGAGCAGGGGGCGGGGGGTGGAACAGTGGATATTCCCTACGGAACATTCACTTTTGATTCAGTTTTGATTTACTTTCGCTTCACTTTGGATCACTTTTCGATTCACATTTGATTCAGTCCGAGCCAGGAAATTTTCATTTTTGATTCACGTTTCTATTCATTTTCGATTCGCTTTTGACTCGCTGTTTTTCAGGGGGTCCAGGCCCAGTCCGCCCGACACCACACCACCAGGCTAAACGAGACTAACTCGTTCCCTTTTGCCTGGCATAGCAGTGTATCGAGTCGCCTTGTGCGTGCGTTTCACAGCCACGGCCAGATCCACAGGGTTGGCAGAAGGCCGAAACTCCAATCCAGGGGTGAATCAGGAAGTGAATCAAAAATGAATGGCAAAAGGGAATCGCGAAATCGGAGTGAATCCAAATCGAATCAGCCAAGTGAGTTAGAATGTGAATCAAAACCAGGAAAGAAAATACCCTTGTTTCGGGCTTCTGCCAGAGATAAGATGTTTTTAATCATAACGGAGTAGTTTCAGCTTCGAAGCCATCCGAGAAGGCGTCTGTATGCAGTTTCAATCGACAGGTTGGAATAGGCACCCTGCCATTTGAGGGAGGTCAAGTTCTGATTACTCCAGGCTGCAGCCATACAGAAAAAGGATGTTTATGCAAAGGCTTGCGCGGTGTCGCGACTCAATCTACGGAATTTCCAGGTGAGCAGTTATGGGGTGGGGAGTCCAAGTAAGGTCTCAATGGCGTGGGGTGGCGTGGAGCGGGGGGTGAGTGGGGGTGGTTGGTGGGGAGCTCCTCCCGGATTTGGTTTACGGTTTTTGCGTTCAGGGTTTAGGGTTTAGGGAACTGGAATTTATCGGCTCGAGGGGCTCTGCAAAACCAATGCTAGAGACCAGGAAGGGTACCCCGCAAAGCCCTTACATGGGCCTTACATAGCTCTTACATAGCCCTTAAATGAGCCTTACATGGCACGTATAAGGCATTACATACTCCTTACAGCCCTGACATAGGCTTTGCAAGGCACTTGCACAGCCCTTGTTTTCGTGGTGCTTGCATTTTCGATGACCCCCACTGTTGCTGGTATGTGCTGGTAGGCGGCAAAACCAGATCTTGTTCCCTCGTGGCCTTTAGCTTGCCATGAACGCTTACATAGGCTGCACGAGCCAAGCCCCTCTAGTGCTTACATAGGACTTCCTTGAGCCGTCTATACAAAAACCTTGGAAGCCGTATGTAAGCAGTACCTGTGGCCTATATGCCGGCAAAACACACTACCCACCCATGAACTACCCACGTGAAAATTCCCTTGACTCAATATTCTGAATACCCTTGACAGAAGAGCTTGTCCCAACATGTCCCAACAACGGGTTTGTTGTGAATGGCAGGACGTCCTGGCGGCCACAGCAAAGGAGGTGCTCGGCACTGCCGAGTTCATGGCTGGTACAGGCATCGTGACCGTGAAGACTGTTGCCAAAGCGGGACTGATTGCCTCGCGACTTGTCATCGCCTTGGCCAAGCCTGTTCTTGGAGGATTGAGGGCTGCAGGTCGCACCACCGCAAACTGCGTCACTGGCTACATTCAGTCGGCTTTGGAGAAGGCTGCACTCGACACTCAGCAACGTGAGATTGCACAGGCCACTTCCATACGACGCTCAAAATATTACGGGACGTCGAATGCCATGGCGAGCCCCAGACTGGACGGCAGCGGTGTGCCTCCAGCTCGGCATGGATGGCAGTGGGACAGCCCTGCACATCCTAATTTGTGCAGCCATGGGCCTATGATGTCGCCTGGGTGGCAGCCATCCCCAATATACCCAGTCTCTCCTGCACCTTCTTTGCATTCAGCGCTGCATTCGGTCCCGCTGCAGCCTGTGTATGAGCGTGAGACCTTCTTGGGTTGGATTCGTAGAAGCAGTGGATGTGGCTTCCGCCATCGCGCAGCTACCGCTCATCAGACGTGGCATCATGCTGTGCGCTGATGGAGATATGTGACCCGGAGCCGATGTAGTTGTTTAGCTTGCACTACAATTCGAAAGCTACAATGCTTCGTACGATACCCATGGGTATCGCAGGCTGAGCTGTGGCGACTGCTTGCAGTGATCCTTAGTCACTTTACCAGCAGCTGAGCCGGCAATGCCCTAATTCGTGCATCAACTGTAGAATCCTAGCTCGGTTGCAACGCCGCAGCAAAATGTTCTGCACCTTGTGGTACGTGACTTTGAAGTAAGCAGGCAAGGCCCTGGTGTGATCGGCGTAAGTTTGATGGTCCCTGCATCCTCATGGCTCGCAGGGAAGCTCTCTAGAGCCCTGGCCACCATGTGACTCTGTGGTGGGTTTTGCCAGTTCGGCCCAGGGCCGGCGTTCTGCTGCTTATTCGACATCCTCTGGACGTCTCCTAGCAAGCACGACGCCAGTTAGCAGATCCAGAGGCTCGCAAGCAGCTCCAGAGTGACCGCTGCGCCATCGCCATGCGAAGAACGAACATTTCTGGTGCTCCCAACCCTTCACCGAGCGCCGATTCATCCAACTTCCACCGGCGACGTTGTTGAGACTCTGGAGCTGGCGAGAGTCTTATCAGCTACCCCGAATACGTCATCCCGTTTTAAAGCATTTGATGAACTGATTTCTTTGTGAGTCGCACGATTGACAGGAGTCGGTCTTGTGACAGATGATGCTGAAACCATGCCTACTGCCCAGCTGAAGCAGATCACCCAAAATCGGAAGCGATAGTGCATGTCGCAGATGGAGACCGCGAGAGTACCGTGGATTCGTAGCACAGATCAGCTCGTGCTCAGCCTGGCGCCATTAATTACACATGAGTAAGCTCAAGCTCCCCCAGCTGTCCATCACGCTGTGACCCTGCTCTATGACTCTATGTGGGACGGATTTCATGAGAGCCTGCCAAGATGGCATAGGTCTGTGTCTCACGTGACTTTTCGTGACACTGCGCCTGGGTGCCCCTGGGGCCCAGACTTGACCCTCCTGGACCCTTCGCGGCAAGTAAACCTGTTCCGCGTCTGTCATGGTAAGCGCTTCTGGTCAATGAGTGTTTGTGCTGATCGTGTCGCGGCGTTGCAAAGAACAGGTTCTCTTCGACTGAAAAATCACTGGGCATTGCGAAGTTTGACTTTCCAAACTCGTTTTCTGCTTGCTGCGGCCATTCAGTAGGTCCAGTCGTAGCTCAGGATGTCCGTAGGTACGAAACGAGGCCGGAAGCAGCTGCGGGATTCGATGGTCCGATGGCCGACCTAAATCTGGTAGCTAGTACGTAGCGGCTAACAACTGCGAGCCGCAGCCACATGGAATGCAGGCAAATCATGCCGGCCAAGATTCTGGATGCAGGCAGGGTTTGCCAAGCTGTAGTGCAGCGGTTCAGTCGTACCAACATGAGCCCAGGGCTGTGGTTGCTGAGCTGGACGCAATGCAATGGGTCTATGCCAGCTCGCCAGCCCTGCGTGAATTGCCAGGTGACAGGCGTCCCTTATCTTCTACCGGAAAAAGTATTCTTGGACTGACAGGAGCTGCAGGACCACGCTAGTTTGCCCAGCATGTGCCTTGTCGTTGTCAGTCTCACCGTTCACTTCCGGAGGACGATCAAGTGCGCCGAGAGATGCAGAGAAGAAGAGAGAACTTGCAACTCAGACTGCCGCTTCGGCGACGTCGGCGAGCAAATCTGCCGCATCCAGACGCAGCACCGGCCAAGCCGGCATACTGAGTTTAGCTCAAAATGAAGAGTCTCCAATCGGGCATCGCACTGCTTCGCCCGCAGACAAAGATGTCAGGGATGCCCTGGCTCGGTTGTTCGTGGCCTTCGATGAGGATGGTGATGGCCTGCTGCGTTCGTCAGAATTTGCCATTGCAAGAAAGCTAGTGGCAGCAACGTTCAAAAACTCAGAATCGCAAATTCTGGGTCCAGATGCCGCTGATCCAGTGGGACGGGACGCCTTCGTTGCAACCATGCTGGCTTCGACACCTTCACATTTATCCACCAGCGAAGTCGTTCAGCAGATAAACAAAATGATTCCTGGAAGCCGTGGCAACTTTGAGAAGTCCGTGAGCGATCTCCAGCAACTGAGAAGTTAGAAACGCAAATGTTGGATTTCCGTCGTGTGTGCTGAATTGAATGTGTGATGATATGTCATTACGGAGATATCGGCTTAAACCGGACTGATTCAGCAGAAGCTAAGGCATGTCATTGTCCGCAACGTGTCCGGTCTGCCTGAGTCTCCACCAAAGCCTCTTTGGCGGACGGCTACGGGCAGAGGCGCCTTCGCACTTCCTCCCGGGGTGGCTAGCGGTCCGCTGATCGTCCGCATGGCTTTCAAAGTTATGCAGTATATGGCCATGCGCACTGAAGATGCCACATGTATGGATGGAGGATTGACTTGCCGAGTTGGGAGTCACCGGCAAACATTCAAGAAGCTTCTGGACAGGGCTGGCGAGATAGCCGGCGCTCGCGCCCTCCCATCCGCCGATGGGAAGTCAGTGGATCTGTATCTCATGAAGTCCTCGGCAGGGGAGGTTTTCCGAGTTTGCCTGCAAAACCTTCAGCTTTGCTCTGGGCCAGATCCTGTGCTTGAAGGGATCGGTGGTTTTGATGTCGGCCCCATAGAGCCAGCAACCATTCCCAAAGAGCTCTGGGCAGAGATGTGCCAACCCGATGGCTTGTGTAGGTCTGAAGCACCCGATGCAAAAGACTGTCGTCCAGAACTCCTTCGAAACTTATCCGAGGGTGACGTCGATTGGCAGAACGCACCACTCATGCTCAAGGTCATATCGGCTTCGCGCCACGTTTTTCGTGTTCGTTTCAGCCTGATTGGCAATCAGCTTAGCAGTAGATACATAGTTCTGATCCCGAAACTCCGAACGGTAAAGGAGGGTCATGCCAGATATGCCTCGCATCGCGTGTCTGTACGCGGTCTGACCGATAGTGCGACGACTGACTTTCAGAGTTTTGTGCTGCTCAACTTGCCGGGAGACCAGCTTTCCCAACTTTCGGTGGAGCATGACTTTGTGAACCAGCAAGTCCGGGTTCAGCAGGAAGACTCGGTGGCCCGGGCCCAGGGTGGGCTCGATGCCGTGATCCCTGTACCCGTCCTTACACCCGAGGAAAGGGCATCCAGCCTGGCCTGTGACGGCAGGGAGCTTCGCTCACTGCTCTCAAGTCAGGGATTGGGGCGTTTAGGTGGGGAACGTGACATAGCTTATGCCGTTCGACTTGGACGACATCTCCGTCACGGCTACAAGTATGACGTGGCATTGGCAGAGACGGATCTCAAAAGCCTGCCAACCTCTATTTGGAAGGCAAAACGAGGCGATTGTTCCTCCTTCAATGTGGCATTCGTATTTGCATTGAGAGCACACCAGATCCCAGCACGCATATCACTTGGCTTCAAGTATGGGCAGGCTGTGTTCGATGCATGTGGGTCAGTCGTGGCTCCACATGTTCAGTGCGAATTCTTCGCTGAAGGAATTGGCTGGATTCCCTGTGATGCGACTGCAGGCGTTCATCGACTGGGACACGAAGCGACCGGCATGCTGTCCTTCCTGGAGTTGCGATCCGCCAGCCTCACTGTACAAGATCTCCAGGACTTACGAAAAGTCTTTGGGCCAACTGTAGGCCCAGTTGAGCTACGTGAGAACTCACAGCAAGACCCCAGCTCTTCTTCCAAGGATGTGCTGAAGGCCTCTGAAATGTCGGACCCCAGTGTTACAGCCTCGCAATCCAAACACGTGGCAGCAGCTCACGAGCTCGGAAAGTTCAGGGACCTCCGCACCGCTGATCCGCTGACAGATTGCGCACGAGCTGGCGCAAAGATGTTCGAGGGTGGGCCCTATCGTGGGCAGCCACTCAAGCTTGCCCAACTGAACGAAAACATGTTGGTCCCAGCTGAAATAGATGCAGTGATGGATCACTTGAAAGCCAAGCCTCGAGCAGAAGACTGGTCAAAGATGTGGCCGTACGGTGTCATTTCCTGCAGCTATGAATTTGAGGAGAAGCCGGCATAAAACATGTACAGATGCTGCCTCGCTCGGGCGGGGATCGCCTGCTTGAAGAAGCTTCGCAGTGGTTCTGATTTTCGATTGAACAGCTCGCAGCTGTTTGGCATTTACCTTGAATGTGTGATGTATTCTGAGCCTGCCCTGATCGTGCGATATGTTTAGCTGCAGCACTCGGGCCTCTAGAGGCTATGTCCGGTTCCGTCCAAGACTGGAGCCTCGTCCGAGAGACTTGGACTTGCCATGCTTTTGCGGCGACAAACGAGTGCAAGACGTGACGAGCAACTCGCGTGTGAGGCCAGCATAGGCCAGCCTGCAGGTGGCCGCTGCCATTCTCGTAGCTTCAGATGGCCGATATGCTCCATGTGGCCGGTTGCCTCAGCGCCCAAGCCGCTTGGCTTGGCCACAGCGTTGCAGGGTCAGCACTGGAGTCATCCTTCGACCAGTTGTCAGGCCTTTGCCCCCACCGGCCGCAGCAGGCAGCGTGGAGGCGACAAAGAACCACAGAGGGCATGATTTCGACGAAAAGGAGCGAAGGTAGTGACACTGAGACGCGATGTGTGAGCCATGGGATTCGTCTTGATGCAGGTGCGCTTTGAGCGACAAAGATCTTTTCCCGGCAACGTGCTGCAGGCGCGGCCCCGGCATCGTGACATGCCGCCTTTGTTTGCACACTGCTGCGGTCAGGTGGCGTGCGAACTGCTCTTCACGAGCTTCTTGATCGGTATCATGGGTTTTCGAGAGCTGGTGAGCCGCAGATGCATGCAATGATTAGCATTCATTGGAGACAGTGCTGTCGAGCGTCAAGGTTATTTTTTCTTCTGGCCAGCCGGAGCTCCAGCTTGTTGCAGCTTGTTGCAGTGGCAAGCCGGATTGCAGCGTGGGCCAGCGCACTGTGTAGACAATGTCTGTGCATGCAGCATATGACGGTACACCATAGTATACCCAAATCAATGCGCAGGGGCACTTGCGATATGCATGATTTCTGGCATGTAAGCACAAGTTCTTATTTGCAACACTGGTGACTTGGAACAAGCCGACGACAAGCTTGTCGGTATCATACAGCTAAAACATGCGCAACTGGCCGGAGAAAAGTCGTCGACCAATAGATGAGCCGGCCGCGACAACAACACAACATGCGACTTTCCGAAGGAGGTAGACAAGAATGACATAAGCTGTCGACGGGCCCTTGATGCTTTGGATGTCCATCGATCTGAGTGTCGGGATATGCCTCTGATTCCCGAACGGCGGGAAAGTAAAATTTGTCTGTGCGGTGGTGTTTGGGCGCCTCAATCTCGGTGGGCCTGCTTCTGCTATGGACCGCAGCAGGCCCGACAATTCTCCAAAGTCCGGAGACAAAATCGGAGAAGGGGATCCGGCTTTCCAGCTAGTGATTCACAAGGCCTCCCGTAATTTGTTCTTCTTGGTGTTGGGATGTTTTGGGGGAGGTGACTAGACAAGGGTCAAGCAGGCGACGGGCCTGCTCGCTGCAATCTCCATTGTCATGCATATTGAGGTTCCTCTCCTTGGGTGGATGATTGTGGTCCCTGTAGTCGGCCGCTCACCTGTAGTGGCCCCTCAAGCTGTGGTGCGCACACAGAGACGCCTCGCCCGAATTCCCCAAGAAAAGATCCTTCAAAAGTCATGGAAGTGTACCCGAAACGCCAGAAGTCGTGGATGGCATGCCTGCCTGGTGCGAGCGTGAAACACCCGAATAAGTTTTGGGCTGGCAAACCCCAAACTCGAAAAACTAAGCCCTTTTGAGGCATGCATCGCAAACCCTCAAGCCAAAGGTCGCAATCCAAGCCCTAAACCCTTCCGAGTGTGAGAGTCGAAACCCTGAGGTAGCCTGAAACCATAAAGGTCGCACAGGGCGACAAACTCTCGGTAATACAGGCCAGCTTTATCAGAGACAAGTGCGTGATTTATCAAAGATGCGCGTGCATCATCAAGAACATGCGCAGGAAATATCATTCACATCTGCAGGTTTTGTTTGGTTTAGGGATTAGGGTTAAGGGAATCCGGTGCACGTGTCTTGAAACATTTTTCCCATGTGCCTGAAAAGCCCCTGCCTTGCGCCCGATAATACCGACCCGTTCTCGATAAATCCGGCGCAAGTGCTTGATAACTCCGTTCCATGTGTTGGAACATGGCACCTGAAAAGACCATCACCCCGCCTATATATATATATATATGAAATACTACAGTTACTGAAATATGCTAAAGCCTTGCCACCACAAATGCATGCCACCAGGGCGTGAAACTGCTACGATGCAGTACGACATGGTTTCTGCATCTTAAAAAACGCGGGCCGCCTTGACGCTGTTTTCTGTAAAGAAGATGCTGGGTGGGAAACCCGAAACCCTACCAGGTCGCAAACCAAAGTCACAACGTTGTGAGCGCCGAAAATAAGCTTCAATGCCGCACGGCCGCAAACAGGGTTTTGGAAAGTCACAAGTAAGCAACGTGGTTGGCGACCCGGTCGAGGGATGAGGTTGGTGTGATCAGTGAGTTGTGTTAAAACCCGAAAAATTAGAAGCAAACCAAAAGGGTACAACCAACCGTTCTTCCCAAGCACAGAGAGTGCAAGCTAGGGTGAGGGGTTTGTACCGGTAAACACGTCTATGTGGAACCCTTTGGCACAAGAAAGTCACGCGACCGTTACCTTGTTGCCCACATGGCGAGTTAAATCGTAACATGCATATGATGTGTATCCGGTCCGTCGTGACAACTCAGCGACAAGGGGGATGAACTCTATCGAACTCTCCTATTTTTTAATCTCAGGACAATAGAGTCTAGGCTGTAATATCGAGTTGAAGGGAGCCCCAACGCATGTTCCACCTATAGATGGCGGCGGAATTGAGCGAATTGAGCCGGTGTTTTGCTGCGGACGAGGAGCCAGAACAGGCAATATGGGGAACTCGCGGTAAAGGTGCAAGCCGGAAGGGGGGGTTGACGATTCGATACATGGTTCCTGGCGAAAATCTGAAACAGATGAAAGCCAGGAGCCATCATTTCCTTACGTGGTCAGCTTTTCCCACGGCAATCCATGTTGATGTTGGGAACCAATGCGCTTTCGGCGAGCAAGGTCGGCACTTTGGTGTGGCTGGCTCTGCTGGAAGCTTTGGCAATCAGAGTCCTTTCAGTTTTCTGCTTGAGATCAGACTAAGGTCTCCATGGGCTCTCGGGTGGTGCTCGTGGGCGAAGCTCTGGAGCTTCTCCTTGATATACACTGTACAGCTTGTCGCTCGATTCTGAGTTTCTAACCTTCAGTGTTTGCTTCTGATGCACAGACACTGCCAGGCACATAGACCTCATTTGGGCAAGGGCTGGCCCTTCCATTGGAACCTTGGTGGCAGAGAGATTCCGCCTTGAGGCCGGGGCCGAGACGCCTTGCCAGGCTGCTCTATGGCCCTCTGGTGGATTATGTCCTCAGCTATCACGACGCCACTGTAATTCGAGAAGGCCCAGCTCCAGATTCCAAGGCCGCTGACTGCGAGCGGGAAGTATGCAAAGCACATGAGTCGAGTAATCAAGCAAGGGGAAGTACCTCTTCGCTATGTATCCACACGGTGGAAGCCTGAGGTCTTGTCCTTTGTTATCACTGTTTGTCCTTCTGAGTATTTCGGAGGTGTCTATGGTGTCTGCCGCGCCTTCTCCGGTGGAGTTGGTTGTTGGCGGACACTTTTCCCAGGCAAGAAAACGCTTGACCAGAGTCCGAAGACGTAGCCCTTCAACTATGGTTCTCCAATACTAGTACCTGTGAAAGCCTGCAACTTTAGAAGACGGGATCCATGTTAATGCTGTGTCAAAGGTCTAGGCAGCGGTGGTAAACCAAGCGTCATGGGTTCGCTGCCAGAGGCATCGCCGCCCGCCTTAGCCTCGGGCAAAGTCATTCATCGTCTGCTTCCCCCGCTCGAAGCTGTTAAGTTCGCGATGCCAGCACCTGCTATGGTTCAGGTTGGGGAAGCTTCGGTGCAGCATTCTTCCTTCCAGGTGTGGAAAGAGAATCTGACTCACGACGAAACTAGGTGCATTGCCGTGCCCCCGCGAGAGCGATGAGGCATTCGGGAAATGTCCCTGTTCTGTGGTTGCATCGACGCGTCCAAGCGCAGAACTGAGCCAGTAGCGTCTGGCGTATGGGCTACGCTTGGTTGCACGTCCGTAACGCGCGAAAATGAAAATTAAGACTGTGTACAAGGCCGGCGCTCGAGCGGGCCGTTCGACGAGGCATCTGAGTCATAGCCGAGTTATAGCACAACTCCAGCGACTGGCAAATCTGACAACCTGCAGGGGAGAACATCATCCTGCTACCTGGCGGCATTGACGAAATGAACCTTACGGATGGCGAGTCCAAGGATGGAGCAGAATTCACCAGGCAAATCCGGACCCACGCGCTGCCAGGACACACAGCTCGTGATGACAGACCGAAAGGGCTTCGTGAAGCTTCGTGGCCAAAGAGAGAGCGTACAACAGTTAGGCCTGACATGAGTGGTGATATCCCTTGCGCCAGCAAAGGCTTGCCATTGAAAGTGGCATGGACATCATCCCCGGCTTCTGCTTCGGCGAAAAGCGGCCATGGCATGAAAGATGCCTTGCCAAGTCTTCGACGCAGCATGAACCAGCAAGCGAGGTGGATTCACCACACCATCAGGCTCCCGCACTTCATTCAGAGCCTCCTTCGGCCTCTAAGGCCTGTGCCACAACCGTGTCGCTGTGGGGCGCAGACTCTGAGATGGACGTACGTAGTGCCTGCCAAGGATGAGTGGAACGTTGTGCAGACCTCGTGGCCTTTCACGCGCCGCTTCACCCGCATGTCCGTTTTTTCACCCTTTCTGAGGCTGCGTGGACGAGGGATTACTCTCATGGGATTTCTGGATCCTCCACTTGGCTACGTCTGGGGCGAGCCCATTAAGGCGTCGAAGAACCAGAGGGCCAGGCCGCTGTTTCAGCAGCGCTTCAGACAAGGTGACGCAGCAGAAGCCGGTTGACGAGACGTACTTGAACGAGGTGCTCTGGCAGAGGACAAAAAGAGGGTGCACGATAAGCAGGATGTGGATATTGGTCTGAGACAAGCCAGGTGCACCAGAAGGTTGCCGATGCTGTCGTTGGCATCTTCAAGAGACACAAGGCCGCTGAGAAGTTGACCTGACCGGTTTTGACTATGACTATTCCATGACTTCTATGTTGGACTGTGAGGCGCGCTTTGGTTATTCAGAGGACGAGACCCTCTCCCTCGTCAGTGCAGCAGATGCCAAGAAAAAGGCTCCAACCCTCGCCACCGCAGCCACAGTCACAGTCGGAGCCGGTCCGGTTGCGAGGTCATTGCCAAGAAGCGAGACTGACAAGTGATGTGCTGGCATCTTTGCTTCCCAGTTCCCGCTGGATTTCACCGATAGTCTGCAAAAGCAGAGAGGAAGACCGATGCCATATGCCTCAGATGAATCTAGCCGTATCCCTGCCACTAGCAGCTGCTGTCTTCACGAAATGTGTGCTCCACAGCAAGTGTATGATACATGGAAACGCTGACCCGCAGCAGTCGATACAATCTGTAGGGTACATGCAAGTATACGGTCAGTCGGAAAACCGGTCTCGGTGCATGGGTGAAGCATGGTGAAAGTGCAGATGGGTGCTAGCTTAAGCGCTCTAGCGGAATTACCGATGCTCCAATCTCATGACGGCCGGCAGCCAAGGGCCTCATTGTCACCAGTTATTGCTGAGTCAATCGTGCTGTTCTTTGCAAGCCCACGTGTTTCTTTCCCATCACTTCTTCGGTGGCCCTGTCGCAGCACGCAGGCCGTATGCTGAGCTGCCATGGCGAGTAGCTACTTGCCTGAGGGCTCCCAGGACGGCTCATGTGTCAGACGGGTCCACCTGCGTCCGACAGCTACTCTTGGCGGAGGTCGTCGGAACACCACTGGAGAGGTGGATGGGTGGTTTCAACAACCCTTACGAAGCAGAAGCCCGCACTGCACGTTCATGTCCTTGCAGGTCCAATGTGTTTCGACGTCAGGGGAACGACTTGTACTGCAAGGACGGCACTGTCAGCAATCGAAGCCGGTAGTTTGGCAGCCCAATGTGCAACATTGATGTTGTTGACATCGCAACAGGCTCGAGAAGTGGCTCGAAATGCAGATCCTTACACCAATTTGCGCGGAGTGCTGCCGCCTAAGCAGCTTGAGACAACTTTGCGACTGACTCACACATGCAAGTGGGATGTGAAGTGTCGACTATGGAAGCCACCGAAGAACCAATGTGTGCAGAGGCATGACGCCGAACTGCTAGACGGAGGAAAGCCAGAGCAAACCTCTAAACTAGATTTGCAACTGCAGCGCAGCTGCGTGTGTTTTCGCAGTGCAGAGCGCCTGGCAGCCGGAGCTGGCGACATCTGTCGCCATGAGCTGCAGAGTCAGACGCGCATGCCGTGGCACAGAGAGCGCACCCAGCCGGACCGTTTCCAGGCGTTCCTGTCTTGTAGACCCCCTAGTCCAGCCTTCGTTTGAAACAGCCACACGGGCGTCCCTAGCAATTCCAGAAGGTGCATGCACACGCTATGTCATTATGTTTTCTGCAAGTCTAGATATGTCATGATATGTCTGAGCAAACCGTGCTTGAACCCTTGGGATTTCCAGGCTGTAGTAATATATAGTGAAGAGACTGAGCAGAAGACTTCTGGAAGTATTAAACTTCAGGAAATGCCTCCCGGACTTCTTTCTGGTTATCATCATGCCCCGTGTTTTTTCTTTGCTCGTTCGCTTTATGTTTACTAGGGTCTTCCAGGTTTGTTTTCGCTTGTTCGGGTGTTTATGTGAATGCGTGACATGGTGTGTTTGTGTGTGTGTGTGTGTGTGATGTTATGGTCATGTCAGTTCCTCCTAGGAAAGGCAGCACGTATGAGACCAAAGCTTCCCGGCCTGAGATCGGCTTGAGAACGAGTCCGAGACTGACCTCTGCTCAGGCAGGAGTCGGTGAAGCTCTTTCAGGCTGCCATGGCCGAGTATGGCAAGGCCGAAAGAGCCCACGGTCTTGGTGTTCTTAACGAGCCAGTCAAACCGTGGACTGTTGGCTGCCCTTGGCCTACTCGTAGATGCAGGCTTTGCATTTCCTTCCGAACGACCATCGGCTGCCAGAAGCCCAGTTGCGCGACATCGTTGCGGGCGCTGGGCATGCCCAGGGCATGCCATCACATCGCACGTCGTAGGCGCGAGTTGTCCAGCAATCTTGCTCAGAAGGGTCTCGCATGCTCGGCTCACTGTGCAGCCCTGATCTTTTTGCCAGTCGGCACGTGTGGAGAGACCGGCTTTATGTGGCACCGCTTTCGTCTTGTAAGATGTTGCAGCTACTCAAGGACTGACACAATGATTCTCCAACGTTATGAAGCACAGCTTGCCGCGCTGCAGAGGTTTGGCAATCGAGCTTTGTGCTACCAGGCTCGGGTGGCAAACCGTGGCATCAAATATCGTTTGGTGATGATTGATGCGCAGAGATGTGTACAGAGGCTGTGGAAGACTGGGTAAAGTGCCGTGAGGCCCCACTTGCGAACTATTGCCGGCGACTGCTCCTTTCCGTCATTTGGGCCTAAGGATGCACAGCACTGCGTCAAGCTAAAAAGCGACTACACGAAGGGATGGCTGCTGCTTGCCGCGAGCCGGCATTTCAGTTCCATGTGTTGGAGCATGTTGGAACCACATCTTCTCATTATCTTCGAAAGGTCAAAGCCACCTGGGAGCTCCTTTGCCTTCGATTTAAGTGGAGCTGATGGGCTTCTAACCCTGCTCGACTGCTGCCAGGCTGGGGCATCACCACGAGGCAATGCAGGAGCTGCAAAATGGCATCATCCTCAAAGCCTCAAGCTGCCCTCATCTGCCAGGTGCGTTCGCAATCACTCGCATGCTTTACGGTCAGGTTTACGGTCGATACCTGGCTCGCGGGAATTGATGGACCTGCAGGCTTTCCGGCCGTCGACTTGCGCTGTAAGGATGACATGTTGGATAGATCGTGTTGCACTTTCCAGGCTGGTCTCACTTCCGGTGCCTTGGTGAGAAACGTAAAGATTTGAAGGATTTGCTCTCTTCTTTTGTCGGTGCTCGTGGCTGAGGCCACAAAGCTCGCGCGGCTGGGCGAAGTGTGTTCGGCCTCCAGATCGTTGTTTTGGTCTCTCGCAGACCACAGAACTTCAGCGGCGCTCTCGCAGAGGTCTCCAGCATGCACACCTGGCAACACGTGTGGCGCTTGTCCACGAATTGGCAAGTTGAGTTGCTGCAATGCTCTTACCGGCAACAGCTGCATGTCGCTGTCAGTGCCGACTAATACAAAGTCAAGGCCGCCCGTATCGCGCTCAACTACCCCGACCAGATCTTTCACGCCACCGCCAGGGCCGCCAGGGCAGCTATCTTACTTGTAAAGAGATGAAGACCAGTTAGCATTTGCGAGAAATATGTTTTGTCGCCTTGTCTAGGCACATGTCCGTCATCCCGGCTTGCTTACTGACAAAGCTGTCTTCCATCGAGAGTTGAACCCGTTTGTGTCAGGCCACGTTGCCGGCCATTTCGCAGGGAACCGGTTCGGGAAGATCTCCCGGGCCCTCTCAGCTAGTCTTGGTCAGGTCATGGCCTGACAGGGACGGGGCCCGGCCTTCCTGCAGGTGCTCCAGACCATCCTCGAGATCTCCCGGCGCCGCTCGGTCGACCCCTTGGCCCTTGGCAGTCAACTTGCTCGCTGCTGTTTTGCGGATGCATGAAAGGCACGCCAGGAACGTGCATCGCTTGCAGAAAGGTTCTTTCCCGCAGCATGCCGTAGCTAAGTACTGGCTGCTTGTGGAATGGCCTGGCGCGCATCGCATACTTCACCCAAATCGCCGACGTCTGTACTCAACGGCTTGGTGAAGAAAGGGCAAACCGATGCAGCCTTGGCCCTCTTGGCGAATTTGCGAGCGCAGCATCTCTTGACAACTGTTGCCGTCAATGTCGTTATTGCTGCAGCAGGGCGGTGCTATTCATGGTCACTGGCCGCAGCCCTGTTGCAGGACATGAGGTCATGCTCTTTGCGCCTGACCGTGGTCAGTCTCAACTCCTTGCTCAGCTCGATGCATCCTTTCTCTGCTTGGCGGCAGGCTGCCTCAACTGTCGCCCGTGAGCGTGCCATCACCCCTGATCAGATCACGCACAACGTCTTGATCAAGACCTGCACTCAAAAGCGCTGGGAAGCCGCTCAGGCAATTGTTATTGCGATGCGCCACGGAGCGGTGCAGCCGGATCAGTACACCTGCAGCTCTCTGCTCTCCTGTGAAAGCTGGCCAGCGGCCCAGGTCCTGTTAGACCACATCGATTTGGACATGGCATGCTTCCGCGCTTCGATTGGCAGAGGGACTTGGGAGCGGTCACTGGCGGTGGTCTCGCGGATGTGGACTCTGGGCCTGCGCACAGATGCCGGTTCCTTCAATGCTCTCTTCACCTGCCTCAGCCGCTGGCATTGGGCAATCCGGGGCCTTCAGAGACACACTGGGCCCGACCTTCTTAGGTTAAACTCCATAGTGGACACGTGCACCAAGTCTGGGAAATGGCGAATTGCAGTAGATGTGTACTCACTAATGAAAGCTTCGAGGCTACGGCCAGATATTGTTGCAAAGAACTGTGTCATTCAAGCAGTGAAGCACCTCTGGCCACGTGCTGTCGGATCTTTGCTTAGGATGATGGATTGCCGCATAGCACCAGATGAGTCGAGCTACAGAGCCGTTTTTGAGGCATGTGGTCCTAGCCCGCAAACCATACCGTGGTTGATAGCGCAAATGTCCCGACAGTCTCTGCAGCAGAGTGTGGTGACTTGCAGTGCTGCGATCAATGCCTGCGAGCCAAGAGGCTTCTGGCAGATTGCGGTATGGCTTCTGAGCTTGGCAGTGTTCGATGAAGCCTGCTTCGGTGCTGCAATAAGCGTCTGTGAGAAGGCCCAGAGATGGAAAACAGCTTTTCAGCTTCTCCATGGTGTCCGTTCTCATCGGCTGAGGCTGGATGCTGTCAGCATCAGTGCTGCAATTAGTGCATGCGAGACCGGTGAAGATGCTGACGTTTGGCGAGCTCCTTTGTCCTTGCTGTTTCGGATGCCAGAGTGGAGCATTGTGCCAAACCAGATCTCTTACAGCTCGGCTGCTGCCGCCTGCAGGGTGCACAGCTCAGACAGTTGCTGGCGAACCACACTGCAAGTTATGGATGACATGGCAAGTAGCTGGAGGCTGGATATCACAAGCTGCAATCTTGTCCTTGGAATCTGTGAGAGCCACGACCTGGTCCACAGGATCCCAGAGTTGCTGGCCGGAATTGTGCGGGAGTTCTTTGCCAGCCTGTCGAAAGTGCCGAACAGTGTGAGTGTCCTCAACATCCGACCGAATCTTAGAGACCCCAGCGCACCTACAGAGGCTGTTCCTAAAGCTCTCCACGTTCCAACCGTAGATAGTAACAGATACTAGGTAGGAGGGCTTGCAAGCATGCCGCATGCCAAGGTTGGTTTTCAGCCGTTGTAACGGGACGAAGTCGCCGTCAAGTCTCAAGTCGGCTGTGTGCGCTGCAGCCGGCACGACTCAAATTTGGACGTGTAGATGTCGGCTGCTTGCCCATGGGTTCGAGCAAACCGCTGCCACTTGCATGGAGCAGCTACCGTGTCTCTGCACAGTTTCGTTGGACGATCTCTTTACAAGTCCTCTTCCAGACAAGCGATATGCTTGTGACTCCAAGCCTGACGAGCTTTCGGAGTGCCATCGCTCTTTGCGCAAAGAACTTGGTGTGGCCAAAGTCTGCTGCCTTGCTCGGTTCCTTCGGAGACATCGACAGCTTCAATGCCTTGATGCATGCCCAGGGCAGATGCGACATGTGGCAGCAGGCGCACACAACGTTCTCTTCTCTGGCGCGTAAGAAGGTAAGGCCGGACCTGATTACTTTCAACACTCTCATGGCATCTGCCCGCAACTGGTGCAGCACACTTCGCATACTTGGCTCCTGCCTGGGACTACGGATGTCTGGGGACATCGTGACATTCAGCACAGCCATCAGTGCCTATGGTGATGCAGCATCCTGGCAATCTGCCGTATCCATGTTCTACCGACACGGCACACGCAGCGCCGTGGCTTGCAGTGCTGTTGTTAAGGCCTTTCGAGCTTCTGGCCAGTGGTTGCATGCCCTCGCTGTCGGCGGAAAGTTCCTTGGACGCGACCGTGGTGTTACCAATGCGTGCATGGGTGCATGTCAGCGTGGTCTTTGGCAAGCTTCGCTGACTTTGCTCCAAAGCATCAGGAAACCCGGGCACATAAGCTACACCACCGCCTTGAGTGCCTGTGAAGCGGCTTACGAGTGGGAGGTCGGGCTGCACCTCTTGCAAGGCATTCGCAAGGCAAGCGTTCTGCCAGATGTGGGTTGTGCAAATGCAGCCATGGGGGCAACTGCAACGTGTTCCAAGTGGGAGATTGTCGATCTCTTGCACCAAGACATGACTGGTAAGGTCTTGGCACCAGACTTTCGGACAGCAGCAGTAGTACTGCATTCAGTTGCCAGCTCGGGGCACTGGAGGCAAGCGACTCAAAGGCTAATGCCCCGCCATCCCAACTTTGGTCAGGTACACTGCAACTGCGTGCTGTCTGCATGCGAAATAGGTGCCTGCTGGCAAGATGCCTTGCAGCTCACACGCGCCGTTCCGCTCTTACGTTTGGAATTGGAGGGTATCGGGCTCAATTCTGCGATGAGTGGATGTGCAGCATCCAGGCGCGATGTTTTCAGGCAGCAGGAATACCATCGCCTCAGCCATAAAGCGTGTGGACACTGCTGCTACCAATGCCACTGCCACCGTCTGCGCCACCGCCACCGCCACCGCCACTGCCATAACCACCACCAGTAGCACCACCACCACTACCACTGCCACCGCCACTGCCACTGCCACTGCCGCTGCTGCCACCACCATTGCGGCGACGATAGTACTACTGCGACCAGGAAGTCAAAGTGATGTGGTTGGAATTCTGCGAATCTGACTCATCCTACAGAGGATGTCTAGTCACCCCAGCTGTTCTTGCAACTGTCCGAGCACATTAGAACATTGGGCTTGACGGCTTGATGTCGTTTAAAGGGGCCGTTGCTGCATGTCTTTCTTGCGGGTTTTCGGTTCCGTGGGTGGCTTTTCGTTGCTGTGGGAGTTTCATGTGTAAGTAGTGTGGCTGGGCTTCCTCCTTGGTCAGGTCAGGTGCTGGCTGCAGTCGCATAGAAAAATTTGTGCAATGCAGTTTATGATGCTTGCGTCCTGTACGGCAGGACTTGGCAGTGGGTGTTGCGGCTGGTTCAGCTTTCCATGGATCGTGGTCTTCGCAGCCCGTGCATCTACACGATGGCGCTTGGCAGCACCGCACAAGCTGCACAATGGCAGCTGTTCTGCAGCTTCACGGAGTTGCTGGACAGCCGCCTTTTGATGCTGACCAAGTCAGCTAGCTAGGGAGCATGCACAAGCATCGTTCCAGATTGCTGGGGTTGCCGGAGCGCGCTTGAAGAAGGGGGGGGGGGGGCGCACGGCGCAAGGCGCCAAGAGGCGAGCACAGGATCTGAAGTCGTCGCCTTTGCCCCAGTTTCCGAGGCCATGTCCTCCGGGCCCAGCCCCGGCGCCTCCGCGAGTGCCAGGCCCGCACATGTCCACAGCCCATGGTCTCCGCGCGTCATGTTTATGTAACCTCCATGAGATTCTGAGATTCACGGTTCTGACCATGGGATGTCCAGGTTTGGAAGGAAGTCTGACATGCGGCACAGGGACAGGAAACTTCGGTGTGCACCGCCTTCAGATGGAACGTAAGAGCGAAAGTGAGACATGTCAGTGGGTCCCAAGTAGATGCTGCGAGCTGCTAAGCCAGACCTGACCTTCGAGGCCGACACCATCTTTTGCACACGGCCAACCTTCATCTTCGATTGTAGCATCAGCTGTGGCCGAGGTTCTGCGGCAACTTTGCATGTAGCTATGGCTGTGATTGGGTGGTTGACGGCATGCTCGCATCCATGCTGTTGCCGGGCGTTGGGGATCTGCACGTTTTCTTGGCTTCAGGCATCGATCCACTCTGCGTTCACCCTACAAGCTACAGGCAGTGTGGCGTCTGCTGTTGTTCATGCTCACCCCATGGAGCGTTTGAACCAGGCGGCGCTGCAGCGACAATGGCATCTGTTGCAGGGTGTCGCTGGCTCTGATTGCTCTTAAGTACAGAAGTCAGAAGCTCATAGGTGCACGGGCCACTCGTGTCTGCCAGCTGTCAAGACGTACTTGCTGATCCCAACCTTTCCCAACAGACGAATCAGGATGCAGGGAGAGGGTCAACGGCCCAACGGCCCCTCGCACGTAAGACTGGCAAGTGCCCGTCGGAGAAGTGAAAGCTTGCTTTTCTTTAGTAGGGAACGAGGTTCTGTCAGGTTAAGGCAAAGCATGAGTGACAGCACAGTGACATCACTGATTCATCACAGCGGCAAGTCGGCTCCACCACAGCGCTGGGGAAAGAAAGAGAGAGACATTGTGTACAGTCCCCCATAGAAAGAAAGAAAGAGCAACCCCGCAGCCGCTGACCAGCAACAGGAGAGGCCTTTGAAGGCCCTTGCCAAACTTCGCCGCCTGGCGCCTTTTCTCCACGGGCAACTACACGAGTGGGCACAGCAGGCCATAGGGGAACTCACTCAGTGGTCGACGCAGTTTTGGGGAACGCCAGTGGAGCTTGTCGACGAGGAGGACACAGGGAACGACACAGACACCGTGGGGGCACAAAGCCAGGACGAAGGACGACCTCGTGAACCACAACCAGCTGGACTACCTGGACCACCTGGACTACCACACCGACCCGAGCCTGAACCAGACCAACCAGAACTACCCGCACGACCTGCACGACCAGCTGGACTACCCGTACAACCTGGACTACCTCACCGACCTGCACAACCAGCTGGGCTACCCGTACAACCTGGACTACCTCACCGACCAGAGCCAGAACCAGAACCGCAACAACCTGCTGTACGACCTGCTGCACTACCTGCCCTCGAACCACTTGAGAGTCCTCAACCTGCTGAACAACTACGACCGCCTCAACCTCCGCCTGAACAGCTGCCGGCGGAGCACACGCACAACGAAGAAGGGGAACACACGGACTGTCGACCCCCGGGACTACCTGACCCACGTGACCTACCTGGACCTCCTGGACTACCTCAACGACTCGAACGACCTGGACCACCGGCTACTACCCTGGCTCCGCAACCAGTCCTACCTTGGCCGTTGGAGCTGCTACACCAACCTTCGCCAAGCCTACAGCACCTGCTACAACAGACCTACTCCTCTCGGCGGAGAACCACGAGCTCTACGAGGACCTGGAGGACGTCGCCTACCAGTACACAAGGGGCACCCGCTCCGCAAGAGAAGCCAGCCCAAGGGGCACACCAAGACGACGAAGGAGAACCAGCTCAAGGAGACCAGCAACACAGCAACGACGCGAGGCACCCGGAACTCACACCTACGGAGCCTGAAGCTACCTGGGACGAGAGCGCAGACACGGTCCCTTGGCACGCTGGAGTCGGGGCACCACCACAAGAAGAAGAACGACTGAGGGGCACCAGCTCGCCTGAGAGTCAAGAAAGCCACCGTAGACGTAGGCTCCTGGGGGCACTCGTCGGTGACTGAGGACCCCACGGTGCTGGCTGTTTTCGCCTGTGCACACTCGAAGTTGCCAGGGGCACCCGCCCAAAGATTCGTGCTCCGAAGTTGTAGTAAGGGGGCACCCGCCCATGTACCCGTACTTCTCGGTAGCAGCTACGTAACGGCCCGGGCCTCAGTTGTGGGTGTTGCTTGTGTTTCTTTCAGGAGTACTCTCGAGTCTGGGGGCACACAGTCTTTGCACAGCTGAGCCCATCCGTCGAAAATGATGGATGGGGTAGCGCTTGACGCGCGGGGCGGGGGGCCTGCCCTCACCCCAAACCCCGAGCAAAGCAAAGCAAAGATTGTGGGTGTGTGTGTGTGTGTGTTGCGAACGACATGCCGGGGAGAACGCGAATGTGCAGCCACAACCTGTGAGATGGACGGCCCTGCGTGGAACCACAGAGAGCCAAGCGGGAGTCGTCACCGAGCCTGCAGGAAGCACTCAACCTAGTGGGGCACCCACACTCCCAGTGAATGGGAATGACGACGACGGCGGTGGACCCATGGCCACCACAATTCCATGGCACGCGGCTACACAATGCAGGGATTCAGAGACGCTGGGGGACATGGAACCAGCCTCGGGGGATATACAGTGAGCCGGATGAGCCATCCGACTCAGTCAGTGAGCGCAGCCACCGACGCCGTAGAATGCACGCGGCATTCTATGGTCCCACGATCCCTACTAAACGAAGGGGGGGCCGCTGTAACCGTTCTTACTCGCTTGACTTTGTGTGGGGGACCGGGGGGCCTTAGGAGTGGCTTGCTGAAGCCTCAGCCCTGCGGTCTCGAAGTGCCGTGCATTGTCGCCACCTAAACCACGTGTCAGTGTCGATGCCTTCGTTTTTTTGGGTTTCAGGGCTTACCAGAGCACCCTTCACTTGCAATTGGTTACATGTCGGACACAGCAGCAGGGGAGCTCCACCCACAGCATTGTGCTAGGGTGTTGTGACTTGGAAAGGCATGAAAGTGCAGTGTTTGCTTGCATAATGGGGGGAGCTCCGCAGTAAAACGCGGAACAGCTGCAGTTCGGCCCGGCCCTGACAGTGCTGTTGCTGTTCTGATGTTTTCGATTGCACCCAACCTTTGTACTTGTTTCCGGAGAGCCACAAGACCACAGCCGGGGCTGAACTTGCATGTTGTCCTGAGACATCTCCTTGTCCATCGTGACTACGAGTACTGCCAAGCACCCAAGAGCGCTGCTTCCGCCACGCCGAGTAGATAGAGAGAGAGAGAGAGACACTCTCGATTGTAGATATCATATCGAAATATGACACCACGGGAACTCGAGACCCACCAATCTCACGTCCCTCAAAGCCCCATAACATACGGGGGGCCACTAGGCCGGGGGACCTAAACAGTCCCCCATGCCCAATGAAAGAAAAAAGAGAGTGACTCGCAACGGAGCCATCGTAGACGGCTTATGCATGCTGCTAGTTTTGACAAACCCGGCAACTCAGTCCTGTAAAACTACGGGGCAACCCCGCATGCTAGTTGAGTATTGCAGTCTGTTCATGCCCAGGGCCTTAGCATAGTGGTGATCATGCAGCCTATCATGCAAGGGGGGGGAAGAGAGCCGTGAGGGATCCTTCCGACGATGTAGTCTTGTGCTGTCCTTGCTTGATAATGTCGGGAGAGATCCTATACTTTTGCTTCACTGCCGGGGGAACGGGGGACTCTTGCAATCATGCTTGGTTTGTGAGCTGCCCTGAGCATATGTCATGTACTCGTTGTCGTGCAGCAGTCCGATCCAGTCCCAGCTGTTAGCTCGGGACAAACACTACGGATCCAGTAGTCGCCTCGGGATGAGCACAGGCCGGGGGATAATTGTGTTCGTTCAGGGAAGCGGGGGTTCAAGAGTTGCGATACGGCCGTCCTCATCCTGAAAAGCTTTCATACAAAGACCGCGGAGACCAGGGCGCACTCGTGCGAAGGGGGGTTGACTCTCCTTGGCTGTGTGGAAGAAGAGAGAGACAGAGAGAGAGAGAGAGTCACAGTGCTCGAAATCCCCGAGCCACATCGAACAAAGCTTTCACACATGGACAGCGCAACCAGTGCGCGCTCGCGCGTAGAGAGGGGTGCAGTGCCCTTCTCTTGACTGTGTGGAAGAAGAAAGAGTCACAGTCCCTTCAAAGCCCCATAACATGTGGGGGGCCCATGCGGCCGAGGGACCTAACTCGTCCCTCATGCCCGGTGGAAGAAAAGAGGGAGAGAGAGAGAGATGTCTACAGTGTAGGTACAGTTGCTGAGAGTTGTGCTTGTAATCGGGGGACATGCATAAGCCTGAAGCTAGCCGTGTATTTTGGAATGCCCCTCGCAGTACAGAGCAGCACAGAGCAGGGTAGTACCAAACAGGGCTGAACAGTGTCCCCGGAATGGGGGGCGGTGATGAGCCGCGAGGCCAGGGGAGTTTAACTAGTGTTCTACGTTCGGGGGATGTGCCAGACCTGAGCCTCGACTCATCGTTCACACCGACTCGGGCAAACCAGTGGGGGGGTGAATGCCCTTCCTTTGGCTGAGTTGAAGAAGTGTTGAGTACAGTAATGCACTGGGGGGCTTCAAAAAGCTTCATGCTGAGCCCTCGGGAAAGAGCAGCGACTTCACTGCGGTGGCTGGACAAGGAACACGGCTGCGCGAATAGCAGTGGAGCCCCCTCTCCATGGAGAGGCGTGCTCTAGGAACCCAAGCAAGGAGCAAGCAAGAGAGTGGATGTGGGGAACTGCCCTCTCATGGCTGTGTAGAAGAAGAAGAGAGAGTTTGTACACACGGGCTTTTGCACTCAAAGC